AAAATCTAAATAAATGAACTTTGTACAGCTTTAAGATCATTTTGAGGTGGGAAAATTTATTATACAGTGGCCTGGAAGAAGTTCTGCATTACAGCAGAGCCAGGGTACCATAGTCAAAGCTGTAAGTGCCTAGAGGTGTTCCAGTCTGTTTCCCATATCTGCTGGAGAGATGGGCTGTTTGCTAGGAGGGAGAAACAGAAAAGTTCCTCTGATATCTGTTCAACTTCGCAAGACCAAAATTTACCAATTCCCTACATCTGCCACAATAATCACACAGGAATATTATATAAATATATAAACAAATACCCCAGGATTCTAATTTTGAAAATTAATTTTGCTGTTTCTTAAGGGAGAAAACAGGCAATTATTTTTTAACACAGGGTTTAGAATTCTCGTGTTACTTGATTTCACTGTACTCAGCAGTTTAAAGAAGCTAAGATACAGGGACAAATGAATGATGTACAAAATAATTTATGGTGTATAGATTAATTTGTCAGATTCCTAACAGCAAAATCAAACACACACACACACACACACACACAAATATAACATAATTAGGGTTTCAGTAGAATGCAGCGCCATTTACTATATTTTCTTATTAATTTACTGTTATTTAGTAAGATAGTTATAGGTTAGATTAAATAAGAATAAAAAAGACTATGTATAAAAATTGAGGTTTGGTTTCTTGGTTATATACTTAACTTTTTGTTTAAATGACATGTTTTGCTGTTTAATTAGATGATTTTATAGCATCTCCAATAAAACATGCAAATATAGTGCTCATCTATGTCTTCTAAATCTGAAATACTTTCATGGAACTTGCTAGGAAGTCAGTATGTCTGAACAGTGAAACATATATTGCATCACTGAATTGCTTTAAAATAGAGCATGTCACTTCCATATACAAATATTTGGCTAACTTCCACATATGAATCTAATTTTGAAACCATTGATATTATAAATGACAGCAGGTACACATAATCTAGATATCTGGCTGTGCTGAATCAGAACTCCAGTTTCTAAATTAACCAAAAAAAAAGAAACAAAACCCATAAAGTCATATTGTGGTCTGCAAAATCACAATAAATAAATAAACAAACAAACAAATTATCCAGCATTGATTTTCTAAAAATTATTCATCAATAATCAGATTAAAAAAAAAAATAAAAAATACAAAAATCCAAGAAAAAAAGTGTCAGAAACCTCCAACAAGCTTTGGATGCAAAGGATGAGAAATATTAACATAATTCGTATATAAAAAAATAAATAAATTAAAAAAGATTGAATTATAAATCCCTAAATATATTTTTCCAAGAGGTGTTTGTCTCAAACAAAAAGAAATATCTTGTCTGTGTTATGAAGGTTCCTTGATTTACTCTCTTACTGATTTTCCAAACAGACAAAAAGCTAACTCAAAAGTTAGAGAATCATCCAAATGCTGACACGTCTTAAATACCTAGTCTTAAATACCAACAATATTAGATACCAACAAGAGATAGAAAGTCTTTTTGAAACAAAATTAGACGTACAATAAAAGAGGGAATAATTATTTGTGGGAATTCCAAAGTGGAATGGTAAGAACATTTTAAACCTTGAAAACAGATTTTACTTCTGTGACATGGACTCTGCTAGGAACTGTGGCACAGTTGTGTTTTTTTTTTTCGTTTGTTTGTTTTGATTGATTTTTTTTTCATGTCATGAAAGAATATTGGTAAATATCCTTTCCATTTGAACCAATATCTCTGGTGTCTTTTTTCAGTCCATCTCTGGCCTGTGACTTTAACAATTTGAATGGTATGTATGTACATATGTGTGCACGTGCATGTCTGCATATGGACATAGCATCCAGTGTTTTAAATGAAGACTCAGGAGCAGTGGACTCATTTGCAATCATCTTCTACTTTAGGATTTTGTAGCCTGCCTATGTGACGCTTCATTATACATAGTTGTCTTTCTTTCTTTATAATGCCCATTCCCTCAGCATCAGAGCATGTCAGCAATGATAAAATAGATTTACCATTATACCTCCACTTAGCTGTTAGTGTTATTCATTTCACAAGTGGCACTTTTGCTGTTTCTTTTCAGTGAAGTCATTCACCTGCTGTGAGCCTGACTTAGATGTAAGAATGAATAATGCATTTCAGATTCAGTTCACATTAATATAGATCTGAGACATATTTAGTTTTATAAAAAGAAGAGCTTTGATCTTGGCAGTAGTGAATTTTAAATGTTTATAAGTGTACATTTTTCATGACTTCTGAGTTGTTGCAGCACACATTTATATGGATATATGCACAGCTTTGTTTTCTCAGCTGACAAGAGCTTTATATGTCCTTCTCAAGGAACATTTCAGTATTAGGGAATCTCTCGCTTCACATTTTTTTTTTTTTTTTTTTTTTTTTTTTTGTGCAGGTATTCTATTGTCCAAGGCATACATTTAAAGAGATTGTTCAGCATCAATGAACACAATGGAACAATCATTACAACTGAACCTCTGGACCGAGAGATTGCTTCTTGGCACAACATAACTGTTACAGCCACAGAAACCAGTGAGTAAGGAATTTAAGGAACACTGTGCTTTATATACTGCAAACTGTAATTATCCTCTGAATATGCCTTATTTTAAATGAAGAATGCATACTTCCTTCTCATTATACTACTATTGCTTGCTACATGAAGGAACATTATTAAAATGATTAGTTAAATAGAGGCAGAATGCATTTGAGCTCCAAGGTCCTGTGCTCTTTCATAAAAGATGACCTTATAAAAAAATAAAAAAATAAATAAATAAGAAATTGTAATGGGATTGAGCATGTAACACTTTCAAGTTACACTGAAGCATATGAATTGCTCCTGCAGTGCAAGATCTTATGTTAAATTAAACCCTGGTTAATTTCACACCAGATTTTTGACTAGTGTGAAATTAACCAGGGTCTAATTTAACAGCAGTCAGAAACCTGTGGCTCAAATTAATCGTGAATGTAAGGCCTAAATCAGTTAGACTTCTCTTCAGTGACAATTAAATCTCTGAAATCTCCTATATATAGTTTTCCTCTCTCATTTTTGTTTGAAAGTCAAATACAATTGCCTCCATTTGTACTTTTGGTTACCTGCTTGCCCTAACTCTGGGATAATGCTCTAGAAAATTAACAGCTACTACTTTATAAAGTGGTTTAGCAAGATTATTAAGATACTTTTTAAAAACTCTTCATATCAATCCCTACAAAGGAGAAGAAAAAGCCAAAATATACAAATATACAAAACTGGCTAATCAATAAATCAAACAGATTTGCTAAATACTTTTAGCATGTTAGTTTAATTCTGAATCTCATTGAAATGTTATTTATTGTTAAATCTACTTTAAACATATATTCATTAGTTCCTCAAAGGAAGCATTCCCTGTATATATGTCAGAATTTTACTTCTAGAAGTTCAATGCAACATATCCAGTAACCTTTTTCAGTGAAGTCTTTATTTTGTGTTTGAAAATTGATAGTATTACCTTCCTTTTCAGCTTCTCTGGGTGTTTTTAAATATAAATATATGTCACTTTTCTTGTTGTTGGACAGATGGCAGGCGATGGTAAAGTTGATCTCTGGCATATTTTTGTCATGTCTTGAATAACACTATGGAAACACAGCAGGATGATTTTGGTCTGGACTTTTCTGTTCAGCTAAACAATAAAAAAGGAAAGAACCAAATGTTACAAATGAATAAGTATCTCCTGAGCAGAAAAAAAGCAGGTCTTTCATAGTAATGAAAGTTATTGCCGACAGACTCATTATCTCCATATTCTTATTTTTATTCTTTATTTCTTTAGTGATGATAAGGTCACTGTCTATAAAAATATATTCCAAAGCATTGAAGTTAGGTCACCTTGCTACGGACATACCTGAAATTATTTATATTTTGAACTAGTAACATTTTATTCCTTGAAATATAGTCCTACCATACACTACGTACATGAGACATTTTGTGGATGACATGTGGATGACATTGTAGCTCCACTGAGGCCAAATCAAAATGACATTAGACCTCATCCACACTAGCTATTCATTGAAGTTGAGATAGAACTTGAAACTGCATTACAGCAGCAACCTCTCTGGGGGCTTATTCAATGTCCTGGCATTTATACAGGACCCAAGCCTTTTGCCTTTACTGTGATGACAGAGATCAGAAATTATTGAGAGTAATTTGCCTGTTATTTCATGACTTGTGATGTGGATCATTAAGTTGAGATACCATGTTTAAAGGAGCCCAGAAGAAGATCTAATTCACATGAGTTTAAACTCAAGTAGTGGGAACCTGCAACCTGTTGAACCTTATTCCAGTTTATACATAGGATTTTTTCCAGCTCAAGAGAAATCAAGATTTATTTGATCAGTTTTTACTTGGTTTTAGTAAGCTTCCACCAAGTGCAAGTCTAAAGCATAAATAGAAGCATTCTAACAGTCATAACAGAAACAAACATGACAGCAAAAGATCCTTAAGCCATCATATTTACATGACAGTGATTTATAGAGTCAGAAGATGATTTTCAGACAATTAATTAATTTTTTAATTAGAATGACTGGCTCAGCTTTCCCTCAATTGAACTAAACATGAATGAAAAAAATCCGCATGATAGCAACTGGCTTGAGCTCAATTTCATTCTCATTTCTCTATATTTCTAGTGGAAAAGTTAGTCTTACTTAAACTTGCCCTAAAGAGACGTCATTTGTCCATAGGATTTTTCAGATGTCCATTTTTATTGTGTTATAGAGCTACTTCATGACTGCAGAATTTATAGCTCTTTGAAGGTTTCAGTCATGGATCATATCATTAATTCAGTGTGTAATTGTCACCCTTCTTTGGCTATAAATACTTTTATTGATAGACTTCTTTTCAGATTAGTTCCAATGTCCCTACTATAGTGTTAGGTCAGAGGTTGGACTCGATGATCTTGAGGTCTCTTCCAACCTAGAGATTCTGTGATTCTGTGATTCTGTGTACTAGTACCTAGGTGCTGTTTGTGTGTGCATTTATTTGATGGTAGGATATAAGTCAACACAGCATCCATGAATCTGATGAAACAGCAAGTTAAGAATAAGCCAAGATAGCTGGAAGGGCTTTACCCATGCCTCTTTCTGTATGGCTGAAGGCACTAAAATTATCCCCTCACTCCTTATAGAATTACAAAGTCTATTACACACCCATCTCTGACCTAACTAAAAAGGTTAAGTCATGTGCTCTGTGTATGATTTCTAAAAGGGATGTGTGCTACTTTTTGTAAATAAAATAAAATAAATAAAGCATTATTTCATTGTCTATTATATTATTGTGAATATTGGGATTAAACACAAGAAATGTCATTCCCCAAAGAACTATCTCTGAGATGACACTGACAGATCATAAGCTTTGGTAAATTAACACAGCTCTAATGATTTCACAGGAGGAATAGTTATGTGAAACTTCTGACTATCTAGCCATTTATCTCGGTGGTATTGCTTTTGCTGTCATTTCTTTGGCAAAAGACTCAAAGCTATCAGCACAGATTCCATAAGTCCCAAGAAATCAAATGTCTGCTCCAAGGAACTAGTGGATTATAAATTTAAAAAGAAATGTAAGAACCACCCAAAGCCATATAGTTTGAAGTGAAGCAGAAAGGTTTCTCTTAAAAGTCCATTAGATTATTTTAAGAAAATGTCTTAAGGACTTCTGAATGGGTGATAGGCAGTGACACTTATACACATCATGAAGCATATTTTAACTGTAATGAATGTTCTGTGAGTAACATACTTGTGTTTTAGACAGAGCAGATTGAGATATTGACATGTGTAATCTAATAGATATTTAGTACTCCTAGAATATCTTAATATGATTTTATTTATTGGAAAATGTCTCCGTTGTGTCTCTTATCCAACAATACATTCAAGTATGAATAGTATTGTTGCTACAAAATTTCTTGTGTACTGGTGTAGATATATTACACTGTGGTGAAAGCAGACCTTTCTAAGAGCTAAGTGATGATTAGTGCCATCTAAACGTGGATTGAATTTGCTGATAGGTGAAGGACTTCCAAGAGGTATTCAGTACCTTGAGATCTTCCTTCTGCTGTTTTCAGGTGTGTCCTCATTCTAGCTGTGATAGGGTTAACTTTCTTCATAGTAGCTTGTATGATGCTGTCTTTTGGATTTAGGATAAAGAAAATGTCAATAACACAATGATGTTTTAGTTGTTGCTGATCAGTACTTACACTAAGTCAAAGACTTTCTAGCTTCTCAAAGCTCAGTCTTGGCATCAGATCCAGACACATTTTCTTCCCCTTGAGGGTGCTGAATAGTGTTGAACATAGCTCAGTAGAAATGGGCCAGGCCACAGAATGTTGCAGTGATTTACATCTCTCTGGAATTGCCAGTGACAGCATATTTTTCCAAACACTTTACCAGTTTTCAGGATTCTGCACTTGTTCAGAGGTAAAGTTCCAAAACAGTGGAAGTGCCCACTGTTCTACATACCTGTTCATACTATCTCCCACACCCTGACATTCATAACTAGCTTGTTTCCCAGCAGATCTCTGGGTGATATTCTTAAACAGATGTTTAACCTTTCACCAAACTAGAAACACATTCAGGAGACATATCAATACAGGTTTAAACATCCAAAGAAATTCAAAATTCTTAAGAGCTATTGTATCTGGCCTGGAGTAGGAAGGGAAGGTGAAGAAGAAGGGGAAGGTGTCATTCCTTGTTCTTCCTCCACAAATCGGATATCTGAGTAGAAAAGGTAGTAAGTATAATTGTTGATAGTTTTCAAGCGATGGTTCCCAAAGTTAACAGTAATGCTGAGAGCAGGTATCAGATTAGGCTTGTGATCACTGCTTTTATCATTCGTGAGGGAGTGTTACACAATACAGCCCAGTGATAAAATGAAAAGTGACCTTAAAACAGCCCACAGAGAAAAAAAAAAAAAAAAAAAAAGCAGCAAAAAAGAAGCATATACAGCAAATAAGAGGTACCAGTAACTATTTATTATTACTGTTATTTATAACAGATTATAAACAATTTGTTCTTTCTAACACATTCTTTTCAGATCTGTCATTAGTGGGATAGGGGAGAAAACTGGAAAGAAAATTGCATAACTTGTGTGTTGAGAACAGGGAAGTTTAATAAGAGAGCAAAGAAAAAAAAAAAAAGAGAGAGAAGGAAACAGAACAACAAAACAAAACAAAACAAAACAAAAAACAGGTAATTCACAATGCAACTGCTTACCACCAGCCAAGTGATACCCAGCCAATCCATGAGTAAAGACAATCCCCCCCCCCCCAGCTAACTCATCCCAGTTTTATGGTTTACAATATCACAGAATGGTTGAGGTGGGAAGGAACTCCTGCAGGTCATCTGGTTCAACCCCCTTGCTAAAGCAGAGATTTCATTACCTAAACCTTTTTAATGTTCTGAATAATTAAGTATTCTGTTTCTTTCCAGAGAGGGCACATATTTTCCCTAGCCTCCTTTTGTCATTGAGGTACTTGTAGAAGACCTCTTGTTTGCTTTGATGTCCTTGTACAGATTCAATTCTATCTGGACTTAAGCTTCTTAAGAAGCATGGCCAGCTCATTGAGAGTGGTTATTTTCACCCTCTACTCTGTTCTTGTGAGATCCCACCTGGAGTACTGCATTCAGGTCTGGGGCACCCAGCACAAAAAAGACATGGATGTGTTAGAACAAGTCCAGAGTAGGGCCACAAGGGGCTCAAGGAACTGGAGCACCTCTCCTATGAAGACAGGCTGAGAGGGTGGGGTTGTTCAGTCAGGAGAAGAGACGGCTCCAGGGAGACCTTATAATAACTTTCCAATACCGAAACGGGGGCTATGGGAAAGCTGGGAGGGACTTTTTGTTCAGGGAGTAGAGTAATTGCTTTAACTAAAAGAGGGTAGAATTAGATTAGGATAAGGGAGACATTCTTTACTTAGAATGTGGTGAGGCACTGGCACAGGTTGCCTAGAGAAGTTGTGGATTCCCCATCCCTTCAAGTGTTTAACGCCAGGTTGGATGGGGCTTAGTGAGTTTACTGTGTAACCTCCTAGCTGCCCTAAGGAACTTGAACTCCACATTTTCATGGTGATTGAAACAAAGACTACCTTTGACTTATACATTACCCACAAGCCCCTCTTCATTGCTGAGAACAAGGTCCCGCACAACACCTTTCCTCTTTGCCTTCTGTATCACATGGAGAAGGAATTTATCACCGATGCATTCCATGAACCTCCTGGATTGCTTAATACACTTTTGCGTTGTCCATCCAGCAGATGTCAGGGTGGTTAAAAAGTCTCCCAGTAGGACCAGGACTTTTCCTAACAGTTTTTAGAAATTTTCATCATTTTTTTTTTCCTGGACAGGTGGCTTGTAGTAGACCCCCACTACAATATCACCTGTCCCTGCCCTCCCTTTAATCCTAACCCATACATTCTCTTTTAGCTCCTCAAACATCCCAAGGCAGAGCCACATACATTCCAACTGGTCATTGACATGTAGGGTGAAACTCCATACTCATCTCCCTAGCCTGTCCTTCCTAAAGGTTGGGTATGTCCAATGTAAATGTTGAGCAAGGTGTCATGTGATTTGAAATATTCCTTTGGTCAGTTTGGGTCAGCTGTCCTGGCTGTGTTACCTCCCAAATTCTGGTGTACCCCACCCTCCTTGCACTCAGGGCACTTCGAGAAGTAGGAAAGTCCTTGGCTTAGTGCAAGAATTACTAAGCAACAAATAAAACATCAGCACGGTATTGTCCTGGTTTTGACTAGGATAGAGTTAATTTTCCTCCTAGTAGCTGGTAGGGTGCTGTGTTTGGGATTTAGGATGAGAATAATGTTGATAAAACACTGATGGTTTAAGTGTTGCAGAGCAGTACTTACGCTAAGCCAAGGACTTTTCAGTTTCTCGCTCTGTTCTGCCAGTGGGCAGGCTGGGGGTGCAGCAGGAGCTGGGAGGGGATAGACCCAGGAGAGCTGACCTGAACTGGCCAGCGGGGTATTCCGTACTATATGGCGTCATGCTGAACAATTAACATGGGGTGACTGGCTGGGGTGGGGGCACTGGCTGCTCTGGGATAGGCTGGGCATCAGTCAGTGGATAGTGAGCAACTGCATTGTGCATCACTTGTTTTGTACAAGTTGTTGTTGTTGTTATTGTTATTATTATTATTATTATTATTAATAATAATAAATAACAATAACAATAACAATAACAATAATAATAATAATAATATTTTTCCTTTATTTTCTGTCCTAATAAACTGTCTTTATCTCAACCCACGGGCGTCTTTTTTTTTTCTGATTCTCTCTCTCATCCCAGAGAGGGAGGGGAGAGGGTGAATGAATGGCTGTATGGTGCTTAGCTGCCAGCTGGGTTAAACCACAACAGGTATCAACATTATTTTCATTGTAAATCCAAAGCACAGCACCGTATCAGCTACTATGAAGAAAATTAACTCTATCACACCTGAAACCAGGACAAGGTGACATTTATGAACATTTTTATTGCATAAGGTTTTGGTTTTTTGATTGATTGATTGATTTTAGGGCCTATTCCACACACAATTTTCTATCATTAAATTATTATAATTAGGTTTGGATTTTCCTTGTCTGAGACAGTTACAGCAATATAACCTAATGTAAATGCAGTAAATGCAGGAATTGAAGTGTCTTATATTGGCAACTTTATTTTCCTGTTCATTTGGAAATAAGCCATATTAACATAGCTTTTACATAGCCACAGTAGTAAAGTATATTCATCTAAGAGAAGCACTAAAGCTTTCATGAGTATCAAATGCCTATGTATTAAATCTGCTGTGTGAATAATACTTGGAAAATAACTGTAATCCCATCTAACAATTCCATCAAGAGTAAAGCTGTACACATGTCTGAGTAAACACAGACTTCTTTACAAATATATGTTTGGGACCAGTGGGTAGAATAGCTCTGTTTTTCCAAATTCCAACTCTGTTCTTTATAGAAGTCTCAACTTTCTGTTTCGGCTAGGACCAACTATCAGTGTCTATTACAATTATTCATGGTTAGCAGTGGCACAAGTATTTTGAAATTATATACATTTTGGTGAGTTTTTCACTAAAAACTTCAAAATTTCAAAATATGAAAGGAGTACAGTGTAGTAAAGAAGTATAAGTATATCAAGGAATTGTAATAGAATTTCTTAAAAGTTGTGACCAACCATTGTGGTATCCATGATAACAAGATGCTCTTCATGAACAAAACCTCATTTAATTTCTGCAGATCAAATTTTATTTTTTACATTTAAATCAGTTTCCAACTTAGTAAATGAAAAAGTGAACATATCCAAACTTTTGTAAGAAGTACTATGACATTCTATTGTAATTTAACATAATGTTGGAGAAGAAAAACAAACTCATTTCAAGACAGAACCCCAGCAAAGCAAAAAAGCACCCTTATTTCTATGTTAGCAATTAAGACTAGAAGTTTAACTTCAAAAGCACATGCTAAATCATATTGCAGGTTATATATTAACAGAATTATTTTAAAAGATTTAGTATTTAATGTGTCTGTAAGTGTCAGTGACTATTTTCCACTGTGAAATATAAATAATATTCTCTCTAGTCTATATTACTTTAAAATATATAGCAGATAACTGATAAATTTTTATTTCCATCTTCTTTTAACCATTAGGAAATCCTGAAAAAATTTCAGAAGCGTATGTATATATCCAAGTTCTTGATGTTAATGATCATGCACCAGAATTCGCTAAATTTTATGAAACATTTGTTTGTGAAAATGCAGTTTCTAACCAGGTAAGTGTGAAGGAGTTAGCTACCATTTTTCTCATTGCCATGAAGATCTGTTCTGAGATGACACTATTTCCTCTGAGATTGACTATTTTAGTACTACAAGAATAGGATATATTTTGTCTAATTCCAAAAATAATTATGTTGATATGTGTACAGTTTGAAATACAAATTTCAGAAGACTGATAGGTATTTTCCCTTACTGAATAAAGCACCACAGAACATGTGAAAGAAAGATACATCTCCTTGTTTGACTGTTAACATTCTAAACAAACAAATAAATAACAGATTTGATTCACGTTAATGTCACAGGTATAAAACCTAGGCCTGAGATTTTCAGTCACAGCATAACATCATCTGGGAGAACCAGATTTAGACAACATTTAGACTTTTTTTTTTTTTTTTTGTGTGTGTGTGTGTATGTGTGCATGTGTGTGTTTTAGAATATTTTGGTTAGAAACCATGTGTTTTGAACTAAATTCAAACCTTAGTGAATTCAATTGAAGCCTGCAAGTCTTTAAGTCAAATCCTTATTATCTTCAATAGCTGGAAAATGTAGGGTTTGTTGTATCAAATATCCTTCCCAGGATTTTATTTTATTTTATTATTTATTATTTATTTTATTTTATTTTAGCAATTCGAGTCAATACAACAATCAGAAGCAAAATATTCACTTTTTGTTTGTTTGTTTGTTTATTTGTTTGTACACACACAAAAATATCAAGCTTTTCCTAAATTTTGACTCACAAGTAAAAAGTGCAGTGTTTCTGTCTGTGGTGATGATGTCCCCAGTAAAAGGCTAGAATCTCTGAGGTTAGATGTACAGAAGTATAAGAAATGTGTTTTATATCTATATATATTTATATAGTTTATATAGATATACAGCTTTTCTCCTGGTGAATTTTATTGTATGCTCAGAAAAATCAGAGCCGCCTATTGGTTTCTGAATATTTTATAGACTCATCTCAGTTTTGCTGAGTCTTAATGGAAGTGGTATAGTACGAAATAAACATTAAGGGTTTGCACTGTCCTCCACTTCTAGGGAGAATCCTTAAAAACATGTGAATATGCTGAACATAACCATAGAAATCTTAGCTTTGTGTAAGAACAGCACAGTGCAAACCAAAACAAGGGATTTTTATTTTCTTTTTCAGATAGACATGTACTCCTCAGTATTGTATTTATTGGAACAGATACAGATGAAATTTATGGGAATTAATGCATTCTGTATATAAAATTACAGAATTTAATAATGAAATAGCAAAGCAGTATTTAAAGCTGCAGTAATTTTGTGATTTTTCAAATGATACATTTCTAAAAATATACATTTCAAAGATATTTTTAATATGTGGTTAAATAATTATTAGTCAGAACAAAAACTGGATGTGTAAAAAACAAATCATCTATTATTGGACTTTTTTTTTTTTTAATAGTTTGCCAATGTTAGGTAATTCTTCTATATTTTAGTAGCCAAATTAGAAATGAAGTTGTATTAGAAGCTGTCTTTATGTCTTACTGCTACATGCAAGCTAAATCTGCATATTCAGTGTAATTTGATAGACTTTGAATATTATGGTCAAATATACAACCTTTAAAAGCTTTTTCTTACCTCTGGACATGAAAATATTACCAGCAAAACCTCATCAAATACCAACAGAGTTTTTTTGTTGTTGTTGTTTGTTATTTCTTTGTAGTATATGGCAGAACAATATCATAAAAATATGTTACTCATTTATGTTTTAGACCATATATATAGTTTTGCTCTCTGTTCTTGTTAATATTAGGAATATTCTGGGAATATTATCCCCTTACCAAAATAAAGACTATTATTTATTCCCAGTGTAACATTAGGGATCAGCTATTGTTCTTCACTGATATCTTGAACTTCCTGCCAATACCTGAATTTGCATCACCTTAAATATTTTGTTTGCTCTGAGAAAAGAAAAACCTGTTCCTAATGAATTTTGCATCCTTTGTACACTGTCACTAAGTATATTACTCAACAATCTCTTCTCAATAGTAGCAATAAATATTTATCAAGGTTCCTCATATGGAGTGAAAATATAGATTTGAAATATATATATATATATATATTTATGTATAAAAAAGACAGAGTAATAAGAATAAAAAGCTTCTAGGGTAGAAGCCACAATTTGCACACTGCTGTGTTGATTTCATCAAACTTAGCTTGTTTGAAAAAAAAATAAAATATTGAATTCTTAGATCTTTCACTGAAAAAAAAAAAATAATCAGGAAAGAGTTTTCAAAAGCACAGATGGAAGACTGTAGTCACTTGTATTGACTTACTGCTGGTTTTGCTTTTAAAATACTTCTTGTAGCATATATGTGCTTTCTCTTTTGGGGTAAGTTGAGTATGCAGGTCTCTTGGGTACAAATAAGGCATGAGGTGACTGATAAAATAGAACCCAAGTTAAAATTGGGCACTATCTTTTCTTAAAGTTGGTAGACTTGAAGCGGCATGATCAATGATCCTCACTTACTATTATATCCTGATGGCCAGGTCACTAAATGTTTTCTGGTAAAAGTAAAAAATTTAAGCACTTTGTTAGCAGAAACATAACTAATTTATTAAGTATTTATTTAGTTGTTTCTTTACAGACATAAAATAGATTCTTTCAAATGTTAAATGTTACTTTTGATGTTATCTTACAAATGACGATCTATTTTGACATATTTTTAAATGAATTATATTTTATTTTCTTGAGAAAAAAATGACCAAGAAATTCCATAATCTGTCTATTATAATATTCAAAATCAATACTTCAGCACAGGAACTTGTCAACATATCTCTCTTACTGCAGCTACAAAATATCAGTTGAATGATGTCAATATGTGTGTGGGCTGGAAGGAAAAGTATTTTGTATAGAATAATTTGTTTAAATGTAGAATCACCTTTTACCTTGGCACCTTGGAAGTAGGGTAGGAGAAAGAGAGAAAAAGAAGAAAAAAAAAGGACTAAATACTATATATATGATTGCTTTTTTTATTTTATGAAAAATTCATTTGTACCTTGTCTTTTGATCCAGGAAATCATATATTTTCTCAAGATTTTAATGCCTAGCTCTCAAACAGATGAAAAATAAAAGCAGAATATTTGCAGATTACCAGTCTCAATGAGACTGTTTGGATATAGGAGCTGTATCTTTGTGAGTACATAACATACACTCAATATGTATTTATAAACTTCATTTCTAGCATCAGTGGCTTAACATGATATGTCCTTTTATCATTTTAAAGGAACATTGAACGCTTTTGTAGTTTAACAATTGCACTTATTTGTGTTTCCAGCTAATTCAGAGCATCAGTGCAGTGGATAAAGATGATTCAGAAGAAAGTCATCATTTTTACTTCTCATTGGCTCAGGAAAGTACAAACAACTCACGTTTTACTGTCAAAGATAATCAAGGTACTGTCATTCATGTGCTCTTTAAGACTTTTCTAATGAAAGATGGATGTTTCGAATGGTCTTCACATCACCAATTTTATAAAAATTTCCACTTATATAGAAAATGTTGTTATAAGAACACAACATGAAGCATATTTCAAAACAATAATTTGATAATATCAGTTTATTTTCCTTTTTCAGTCAAGTAAACTAAATGGCAAAAGATGATTTTATATCAATGAAAAGAAAAAATAAATAAATCTGAGATTAAAAACAAAAACAAAAACAACAACAACAAAAAAAAAAAACAAAAACACTGCTATTCCTTATAATTTATCTTCTTAATGTAGGATGTAGTGGAAAGTACCAACTTTATTGTTAAAGCTATGCATTTATTTAAGAAATAAGATTTCCAGAAAGAGAAGATTGTTGTTAGTGCAAGTCTGTTACTTCATCACTTCAGTAAGACCAAAATTATAAACACAAATTAATAGGAAAGTAATCTTATTTCCTAAAACAACTTAAACTACATTCATTTGTTACTGATGACACCATATAAATGTCTCCTATATGAATTTTAATGTTATTCAGAACTGCGATTGATTGAAACTCTTAAAAAGAGTAACATAGTTATCAAGCAAAACCAGTCCAAGGCAAAAAATGTAAATACAGTAACTGCAGGAAATGCAACCACTTAGAGTCAGTCTTCTGAGAATATGAAGAGCTTCTTCAGACTCAGCTAAAGTACACATTGCTCTTATTGACATTGCTAATTATTTGAATTTTCTCGCTAGGTGAATAAATCAATGGAAGTAAGTTTTGGAAAGTTCAGACTATATTAAATGGCAAACGACTTTTCTTAATATCTTCAAAGTTAAAGTCAATGTTTTAATATGTTTCAGTTCCCAGCTTCATTAACCTCTCACCCAGTGCCAAGAAGAGATAACTTGTTACATTAAGATCAAATTGTGTACAATGAGCTTTTCCCACATTTGCTCATTCTGCACAAAGTCCAAGCAAAGATATGCAGTATATTCAGTTCCTTTTGGAGGCTATTGATAAGAAAAAAAGAAAAATATTTTCCAGCATCATATGCTCAGCCTTCTGTCTCTACCTTTCTGCTGCATTTCACACAAATGGCTGGGTGATTTGGGATAGTAGTAGGCAAGAGGAAAAGTGAGTCTAAAGATCTGGAGCCTTTTATCTCACGGTTGTCCTCTGAACTATGACTAAGAAACATGGAAAGACTTAAATAGGGGGAGTTAACTTCAGTAGACTTTGGATAAATATGCTATAAATGTAATGGATGTATGTTCATAAAAATGTATGAACTCATGTGGTTATTCATCCTGCCATGATCAAAAACCTGACATACACGTATAAATATTTTTTTTTCCTTTGTGTGCAGATTTCAGTAGTCTTAATTTGTTTTCCAGTGAGCTAAATTTCAGATTAGAATTAGTTCATAAGGAGTTCAGAAGGGGCTGTACTTAAACTGTTTATTGGGTTTTATACAGAACTTATTAAACATTAGTAGTTAAAGCAAGGTGAGAGACTAACAACTTTTCCCTCCTTTAGATAATAGGTGCTAAGCTAGCTCCAGTTTCCTCTCAGGGAAAGAAATAAAAGACTATTTCAGTCAACTTTTTTTTTTCTTCTTCTTTCTTTCTTTGTCTTCTTTCACTTTTTACCTGCTTTCTCTGTGTGCTGTCAGGCACATTTTTGGACCTTTTGGATTGGTAAACTGTCTATATTTCATCTGTGAGCTGCTGTATTGTTAACAGCTGGTTGCAGGAACCATTGTAAGAACCAATTAATTGGCCTGAGCAGCTATCAGATACTATACACTGGAATTTTGTAGCTTCAAACATTAAAACAGCTTTAAGGTCAATTTTTATTATTGAACCTGGAACACATATGACAAAACAAATGCAATTATTCACAGTTGACACAAGGAAAGTTCACATATCCATGGCTGGCTTTACTTTCTTAATGTTGCTAATGTTGAACAGTAGCATCGTTTTTAAATAGGTCATATTCCACTGGATTTTTATTGTTATTGTTTTTATTGTTTATTGTTATTGTTTATTGTGATAAATGCCTATCATGTACAAAAATTATCTTCTAGATAACACAGCTGGGATTTTCACAGCAAAAAGTGGTTTCAGTAGACAAGAACAGTTTTATTTCTATTTGCCAATATTAATTCTGGATAATGGATCCCCACCACTTACAAGCACAAATACTCTCACTGTCACTGTCTGTGATTGTGACACTAAAGTGAACACCTTCTACTGTCGATATGGAGCTTTCATGTATTCCATGGGTCTCAGTACAGAAGCTTTAGTTGCTGTTTTGGCTTGCATACTAATATTCCTGGGTAAGTAGAAGTAAGATAAATGACTTTTTTTTTTTTTTTTTTTTTTTTTTTTTTTTTTTACAGTAATCATGACTATGTAAAATAAATAAATGAATAAAGATAATCCCAGACAGGAAATATGGAAGTGCAGTTTTATTGAGAAAAAAAAAATCAATAAGTCAAATCTTTAATTTCTTTTCTGTTTTCTTAAATCTAAATATTTTTTCCAGTTTTCAGTAAAATTTGAATCCTAACACCATGCCTTAAAAGTTTGCTTTAATTATTTAGCATTAATTATAATAAAAATCTGAGAATTCAAAGTCAATATTGAGCCTAGGTAAAGCTGAAGACAGCATTAGTAAAGGAGATTGGTTATTATAAGAATAAATTAGGTACATAATAATACGTTCTGCCTTAGGTATGTACAGCTAAGATCAACACAAAATAATAAAAGATAAAGAGAAACTGATACACTCAGAAACTGAGCAACTGTATCTGTCCAGGCTGATCAACCTGAAGCAGAGGAGGTTTAGCAGGATTTCATCAATATGTATAAATCCCTGAAGGAAAAGTACAAAAAAGATGAAGCCAGGCTCTTTTTTTTTTTTTTTTTTTTTTAAAAAAAATTGCAGATGGCACCAAGTTAGGTGTGTGTGTTGATCTGCTTGAGGGTAGGAAGGCTCTGCAGGAGGATAAGGATAGGCTGGACCAACGGGCTGAGGCCAACTGTATGAAGTTCAACAAGGCTAAGTGCCGGGTCCTGCACCTGGGAGTTGGAAAGCTGGTTGGAAAGCTGCATGGCGGAGAAGGACCTGGGAATATTGGTTCGATAGCCAGCTGAATATGAGCCAGCAGTGTGCTCAGGTGGCCAAGAAGGCCAACAGCCTCCTGGCTTGTATCAGAAGCAGTGTGGCCAGCAGGTCTAGGGAAGTGATTTTACCCCTGTACTCAGCTCTGGTGAGGCCGCACCTTGAGCACTGTGTTCAGTTTTGGGCTCCTCGCTACAAGAAGGACATCGAGGTGCTCGAGTGAGTCCAGAGAAGGGCAATGAAGCTGGTGAGGGGTCTGGAGAACAAGTCTTACGAGGAGTGGCTGAGGGAGCTGGGTTTGTTCAGCCCGGAGAAGAGAAAGCTCAGGGGTGACCGTATCGCTCTCTATAAGTACATTAAAGGAGGCTGTAGTGAGGTGGGGGGGGTTGGTCTATTCTCCCATATGCCTAATGACAGGATGAGGGGGAATGGGCTAAAGTTGCACCAGGGGTGTTTTAGGTTGGATATTAGGAAGAACTTCTTTACTGAAAGGGTTGTGAGGCATTGGAACAGGCTGCCCAGGGAAGTGGTGGAGTCACCATCCCTGGAGGTCCTGAAAAGACTTTTAGATGTTGAACTTAGTGACCTGGCTTATTGGAGGACTTGTTAGTGTTAGGTCAGAGGTTGGACTCAATGATCTTGAGGTCTTTTCCAACCTAGACAATTCTGTGATTCTGTGATTTTCAGTGGTGTCCAGTGACAGAACAAGAATAAGCAGGCAAAATGTGAAGCATAAGAGGTTCCATCTGAACAACAGAAAGCAGTTCTTTGCTATGTGGTTGACTAAGCAGTGGCACAGACTGCTCAGAGAGGTTGTGGAGTCTTCTTCATTGGAGATCTTCTAAAGCTGCCTGGACATCGTGCTGGGCAACCTGCTTATGGTCATGCTTGAGCAGGGGTTTGGACCAGGTGACCTCTGTTATTCTGTAAGTAAAATCTCCAGAAAGACATTTCTCCAAATGTTGTGCATTTTTCCCTGTCAGGAGACATCAAGTTTATTTCCATTACAAAGTATATTATGGATGTGAAAAGTGAACACTGTAAATGCATAGGAGATATCTTTGTACCTCTGGAATGTAAAGCCCTAGTCATGCATAGCTGGTGAATGGCACTTACATATCCAGACCTACCCAGCCAAGGCTGGCTGTTCCTGCCCTGCTCAGGGCTACGGCTGTTGCAAACTATACCTGGCAGCAATCACTGCTACAATGCATTTGATCTTTTTCAGAAAAAGAAAATAGAACCCATTATTAGTGGGCTACAAATTATTAGTGTAGTGTTTGATGAGTGATTTGATGACACTGACATACCATAACATAGAATCACAGAATGGTTTGGGTTGAAATGGACCTTAAAGATCATCTAATTCTAATACCCCTGTCATGGGCAGGGACACCATCCACTAGACTAGCTTGCCCAGGGCCCCATCCAACCTAGATTTAAACACTTCCAGGGATGGGGCATCCACAGTTTCTCTGGGCAATATGTTCCAGTGATTCATCCATCCTGTAAGTCTGTGACAGACTAAAGGTTAAGGTATGGTACCTTAGAAAGAAAGAGAAGTGATAAAGATGGGTAGGTTTGTTTTACAAGACAAAATGACTGATCTTAAAGCTTGGTTGTTGATGGTGGTCGTGGACCTGAAGACCTCATTCAAGCTGATGAGAACAAAGCAACATGGAAAGACTTCCAACTCCATCTCTGACTGTTACCTATGTAAGAATATGATATATATATATTATGCCTTGTAATTACATAGTGCATAAAATATCATATCCAGAAGTATCACAAAACAATTGACTGACCATGTTAGGGAAACAGCTTTTCAACCAAGAGTGAAACTCTACAAACAAAAAAAAAATCGAAGTCAGAAAAAATGAAGGTAAAATAAGGTTTTACTGAGTAATGTGATATCAAATCATCATTTTAAATTGTGAAAACCTAGTACAACCTGTTTTTCAACAACATTATTAAAAAATGTGAAAAAATATAATCCGAAATGAACAGGAAAACTTTAACAAACAGTGTCACAACACAAATGTAAAGTCAGGAGAGAAAGAAACAATAATAGCAGAAATCACATTATTTTTAAAACTAAATCTTTCAAGGATAATGATTCTCTCAATGTATTTGTTAATGGGAAAAAATATAATACTAACATTTTTAAACTTCTATATCAGTGAAAAAAATAAAAAACAATCTTAAGTAACCCCCATTTATTTATTTATTTTGCAAACATATCTAGGTGAAGAACATTCTTTTTTCTACCTTCATTATACAGTATGATCTCATCTAATCTATGCATAACATCACATAAAGTATATCATTGGTAACCACAGGAAAACTAAGGCTTGAAAATGGTGGCTGGTAGCTCTATACTGATTTTGTATTTTGATCTGCTGTAGTAGCAATACAAGAAAAGAAAGAGAAGTCCAATAAAGCTAACGGAATTATTGGACTTTACACCAGGGAAAAAAAAAGATACTGAATAAGTCAAAAATCACCCTTACTCTGCATTCTGCCTAGAAATTTATGGGTTGATTTTTCTCAGCATTAGGAATCTGGACCTAATTATTTCCCATTGTTTTACCTTTGATTGTCCAACTGAATCTCTGGGTGATAATTCATTGAAATGAGTTATTGAATCTTCCTAAAATGTACCCCATAATGTAGTCCCACAGTTATATGAGTTTTGCAGAAGCAAAATGTTTATGAATTATGAATCAGCAACTTTATTTGACTTTGGGGTCTCAGGATTATGTGACATGCAGGAAACTGAAGCAGAACAATGGCCTCCGAAAAAATAAATCCAATTCTATTTATTCCTTAGAACAATTTGAGTAGATAGAATGAGGATTGAAACAATGAAAGTGTATTTCATAATTGTTGTATCTAGATGGGTGTGCTGTTGGCCAGACACTAGCCATTTTTGACTTCATAACAAAGTCCAGGAATAAACTAATTCCCCCACCTCCATCTCCCTGTTTCCAACAAAGAAATCAGGAATATATGATTGGGATTTGTGGTTTCTAGACTTTACTGTACTTCCAGAGTCACCTTACTTTCAGTAGTGGCACTGAAAAGCAACTCCCTTGACTGAAGCCCCTGAAGACCTTTTTGTCAGTGCAAGCTTACTGGCAGGCATGAATGCATTTAAAAGTTTCTTTGCTTCTTGCAGGACATTTGAACCTGGTCACTTAGTGTTATGCACTTACAGGGTCAAGGATCAGGCAAACTTTGACACTGCATTATCCAGGCCATCAATGACATTATTTATTAAATATTCTAGGCTGCCTGTGGAGAGGTACTCTCTTCAGGTGGAATAAATACTCACTGTCCGGGGTTATGTACATCATAAATGTCAAAGCAAGAATATAGACACAAAAATAAATTTAAAAGGGACAGAAACTAATCTGCCATACTCTTTACAGATACACATATTTTAAATGCATTAAATCCTCTAATGCATTTTTACGAATATTCAAAATGGGATATACAAATTCCTATACATAATCTGAACATTATTATTATTATTATTATTATTATTATTATTATTATTATTATTATTATTATTATTATTATTATTATTTGGAACTTTATCCTTGTATTTATCATTAAAATATAATGAGTTACTTCACCATGCAATAGCTTGCTATAGCTTGAAAGTATTTGGGTTTTGTAAATGTATGATAATATTCTAGAAATTATTATTTCCAGGGCTTTCAGGTTTTATGTTACTATTTCACAATGATAGGAAAGAGTATATAGGGAAATAAAGAACTACTTCAGGTGTGTCATATCCCTAACCGAGGTAAAATCCTGTCATGGTTAGTAGTTGTGTCATATTATGTCCCAAGTAAAAAATTACAGTTCACAAACTATTACTTATTGAAGAGTTGAATAAAACTGCAGTAAGATTTAAATGAAGAAAATGAAATCATTAATCTCTGTGAAAGTCATAGAATATTTAAAATGGATCATTCAGCTAAAAATGAAATGATACAGGATTTGAAAAGAATGATTTAAAATATTGATTAAAAAAAAAAAAAGCTTTAATGTATGTTAAAAAAAAAAAAAAACAACAAGCTGTTCTCATTCAAAAACCCCAACAGTAATTACTGCTACAACATCACAAAAAATTCTTCAGATTCTTCAAATCTCCAAATCAATGTAGTATAAACAAGTGAACCACACCCTGCATGGTCTAAGGACCTGAATTATTTTCAATCCATGGAGTAGGATAGCTCACACATTGTCTCATTTTTCATTTGCTTTTCCTAGGGCTTTAATCTAAGAGAGGGAGAGATTAAAAATAAATAAATAAATAAATAAATGTTGAATGTTGAATTAATATATTATGTGATAAAACAAAGCAGTTTCAAAAAAAAAAAAAAAAATCTGTTTCCGTCACTGCTTCAAACCCTCGTCTACCCAAAGAATTGCTTCATTTCATTCACCCATTTTATAAGTCCCTCTGTAGCCATTTTTCTACCACCTTCTGTGATAATCTCACAACCATAAAAACTATAAAAATCACAGCTCTATAAATTTGTTAAGATAGCCTCACTTTGTAATTGTAGTAATGTTAAGAAACATTACTATTTTTTAAGTATTTCCAAGCACATTCAAAATTTGTTATTTTGTTTCTATTTGTCAGTGTTTTTTTTGGCAATTGTAGCCATAAGACAGCAGAGGAAGAAGTCCCTCTTCTCAGAGAAAGTGGAAGAATTTAGAGAGAACATTGTCAGGTATGATGATGAAGGAGGTGGTGAGGAGGACACAGAAGCTTTCGATATTTCAGCACTGAGGACCCGCACGGTCATGAGAACATGCAAACCTCGAAAGAACATCACCACAGAAATCCACAGCCTCTACAGACAGTCTCTGCAGGTTGGCCCTGACAGTGCCATCTTCAGGCAATTTATTTCAGAAAAGCTTGAAGAAGCCAATACAGATCCTAGTGCTCCTCCATATGACTCACTTCAGAGATACGCGTTTGAGGGTACTGGCTCTTTGGCAGGATCTCTCAGCTCCTTAGGCTCAGACATGTCAGATGTGGATCAGAATTATGACTACCTTTCAGATTGGGGACCTCACTTCAAACAGCTTGCAGGAATGTATGCTTCTCATATGAGTGTAAGGCATTAGTTACTGTTTGCTTGTTTGTTTGTTTGTTTTTGTTTTTGTTCTTTCCTAAATGTTCAGCAACCAAAACCAACTCTTTTTTTAAAAAAAAAAAAAAAAAAAAAAAGAAGATCATCCCACATTTATGTGCAAAAATAAAGTCCAAAGTCTTGGATGTGAAGATCTTGTGAAAAATCATACAAATAATCTCGTGAATTGAGGGAACAGGACCTCTCCATTTGAAAATCTAGTGTCTATTTGCATTTTTTTGAATGCAAATTGTGCTGCTTTGGATATCAAAGTCCCATTCTGGGTACAGAAAACCTGGGTCCTGCAGGTGCAGAAGGTCACAGAAGCCAAATAGAAATGATAAATAGAATTGCAAATATTCTGCCATTCATAAGCTTTATACAGTTTCCAAAGTTAAGACAGACTTCCGCTGTGGCAGTTGAATATATTCTTTAACCAAAGTTAAACCTACATATTTGTATAGTGCTTCATAATATAAATAGACTTATGTGATAAAAGTAAACCCTAGATATTCTAATACAATTGTCAGAAGCATTTAAATGAATCATCTATTTATTGTTCATAGGATGATAAAACTAAAACAAGTCTCTTTTCATATAAGCGTAAAAAAAATAATGATGTATTGCAATAAAATGATATATTGCAACAACAGCAAGTATTTGATACTAATTTCTTTAATGGTATTATTGGGAAATGCATAAACACAATAATTAATTTAGCAAATAAGATGGAAGGAAGGAAAGACGGAAGGAAGGAAGGAAGGAAGGAAGGAAGGAAGGAAGGAAGGAAGGAAGGAAGGAAGGAAGGAAGGAAGGAAGGAAGGAACCAGTTAAAGATGTGGGTTTTTTTTGTTTTTATTCTTTTTTTGTTTGTTTGTTTTTTAAATAATAGAACATAAAATTATCTGCAGTAGTCAATTTTATTATAACTGTATTAAGGATCTTTAAAACGCTAAACTGATGGTCATAAAACTTTATGTATAACATTAGATGATAAGATAGTAAAATGCTTTAATGTTAATCCACTTCTGAAAATGATCCTTTATCATTCTGTTAAACTGGAATCAGATTTCAAGATTAATTTCCCATTGTATCTTTTAAAAGTAGTTTATAATGAATATAAAGGTGTCTTAGAATATTTTTTACTCATATATATGCAGCTACCCAGCAGCAATTTTAGATCTGAGAGTCATCAAAATCATCAAAATCATCTGCTGCTTATTCTACAGAGATCGCATCTTGTAATCAAGTAAAACAACATTTCCACAACTAAAAGCTGTCATCTGGATAAAGAAAATTATGTGATATTTTCCTTCTTTTCATTTTTTTAAATAAATAAATAAATAAAAACTATTAGGTATGAATTACTGAATTACAAAGAGCCAGACAGACAAAGCTTGTGGAAAGAAAAAAAAAAAAAAAAAAAGGCTTGTAACATACAATATGTGCTGCAATGCTAGCTACAATTGCTGTTAACCAACAAAAAGCAAGGCATATAGGCTAAGTGGAAAAACACCAGTGGAGCGTTCAAATGTCAGCTAAAAATAAAACACATGGAGTCTGAAAATCAGGAGAGATTTCCAATGTAAGGTCCAGTAAGGGCAGAAACATTATTCATGATATTAATTGCTGTAAAACATGGGGGGAGGGCAGGGTCATCCAACTAGATGCAGATGAAACAGCATCAAAAGGAAAAATTGGTTCTCTCCAGTCTCATGCAAGGCCTTGAGTATGACCGAGTGAATACAAAACACCTTTAAACAGTGAATAATTAAAACATTGACCATTGACATAGTTAAAAAAATGACTCTTTTTTTTTTGTTGTTGTTGTTGTTGTTGTTCAGTGGCTCTTAAGCAGATGTAATAAAATAATTCATTTTGAGACAATATTGTATACATTTATCATTTGGTCCATGGCAAGGAGTAGACAGAGTGCAATTATATGTTCCTTTATTTTTTGGAGATGGTGAGAAGTACAGTTTTAGTAATAAATTTATAGATTTATGCAGTTTTTACACTACACAAATCCTTATTCCACAGATGGTCTCAGTGTCTTTAATAGAATTCCTCATAATTTCAGACTGTATTTAGTACAAATAGGATGAAAATGTCTGATCCTTTCCCAATCCAGATATTTGTCTGTTTAGATGGGGAAATATCTAGCCATGTTTTCTCTGACATTACAGTTTTCTCCGTTTACTACACTTTAATGATAACTAATTTTTGTAACCAATGCATACTACTCTCATATCAAGTGACTTCTAAGTGAAAGAAAGCAGTGGTCTGCAATGGCTACTACATGATCTTTAGCCAAAAAGGCATAAAACCATTTTTCTTGCTCCAAAGTAAGAAGCCATTCTTAGCTGTTACTGGGCCACTGGGCTTGTTATTCTAAGTCAAACCTATTGTTTGACTTACTACATGGTTTTTGAAGACCTCTATGGATGGTGACTTAACCTCTTCCCTGAGCAGCCTGTTCCGGTGCCTCACAATCCTTCCAGTGTTAGGACATTTTTCCTAGTATCCATCTTAAACATCCCCTGGAACAACTTAAGGCCTTTTTGTCTTGTCTTATTACTTGGTGCTTAGGAGAAGAAACCAAACCCCACCTCACTATAGTCCCTTTTAAGGTAATTGTAAAGTACAGTAAAGTCTCTCCCAAGCCTTCTTTTCTCCAAGCTAAACAACCCAAGCTCTCTCAGCTACTCCTCATAAGACTTGTGCTCCAGACCCTTTGCCAGCTTCATTGTCCATTTTTTGTACATGCTCTAGCACCTCGATGTTCTTCTTGTAGTGAGGGGCCCAAATCTGAACACAGTACTCAGGTGCAGCCTCACTGGAGCCAAGTACAGATGGACAATCACTTCCCTAGTTCTGGCCACACCATTTCTGATACAAGCCAGGAGGCTGTTGGCCTTCTTGGCCACCTAAGCACACTGCTGGCTCGTATTCAGCTGGCTATCAAACCAATACTCCCAGTCCCTTTCTGCCAGGCAGCTTTCCAGACACTCTTTCCCCAGCCTGTAACATTGCATGGGGGTGTTGTGCCCCAAGTGCAGGAGCCAGCAATTAGCCTTGTTGAATCTCAACATATGATGGATCTCTTCTGACACTGTTTGAGTAAATTCATCTGTGTCACTACAAATTCCACAGAAAAAAAAATGACTTCACAAATGACATCTTGAACAACTGTTTCAGTAAGTTATGAGCTGGAACAATAATTTTTTGCATTCTGATTCTGTATGTTGACCTTATAAACATCAAAAAATATCCTCCATTATTAATACTGAGGACACTAGAGACTAGCCTTGAAGACTACAGAATACAAAATGTATAAAATGAAATGACACAAAATACAACATAATCCAGTCTAGAAATAATTCTTAAAAAAATCTGCAATTATATTGGTCATTTACCCATTAGAGTAATTAAGACAAGCTCCTAAATTTACTATGAACTGCCAACAAGATGCAACCCAGAAAATCATATGTGAACCAAAGCTGTACAAAATAATAAAACAGGCAAAAGAAAGTGTTGACCATGAAATTAGATTGAGATTGATTACCTAAAAGCTTAATTACTTGACAGTTCATTTTTTCTTGTCAGACTGACCAATCACACTAACAGTGTTTCTAACATCACATGTTCACTTAAACACTAACTCAAAGGCAATTCTAATATTACTTGTTAAAGCGTTTTCATAGGACAATTTATTTAATTTTTTTATACTTGCAAACTCTGGCAAAACAAATGAGGTGCCCAACAGATGTAAAAGAGGAGATAGAAGATATTATCCTTAAAGTTTTGTATTTATAGTGTAATTCAATATGCACTTTTTGCATATGGTGAACCTAATTTCATTTGTTACAAATGCCAGTTTATTTGCATTACTTATGAATTCAAAATATCATTACAATGACTTGAGAAATATTTTACTTGAATCATTAAGCGTTCCAGCAACTTTAGTAATACTTCATTGAAGTTCTTGTCAAAAAAGCTTATCCTCACAGAAGTCTTACCCCATTGCCACCATGACTGAACATAAAACCACTCTAGTTAGCCTATAAAAATGTTTACACCCACTGTAGTTCATCTCACCCAACTTTCACCGTACCAAAATTAGTGTAAGTTATTCAGTTACCCAAAAAATAATGCTCAGAGTCTCTGTCTGGAAGTGCTAGTCTCATTATGTTTACTGCAGCAAAAGTTTAGCAGGTTAGTTATAGTCAAAACCTAAAGTTTAGATGATTCAAGTTAAGATGAATCTCTTCCTTCCCATCCCATGCTCCCCTTTTGCTGTAAGTCCAGCATGCCACTCCCTCCAATGTCTCAGAAATTTGGGGTAGTCTGGACACTCTCCAGTACTGCAAAATGAACATGGAATTCCTCCTTATGGGAACAGCTTATACACAGCAGCCTTTCCACACTGAAGAACTCCTGCAAACATATCTCCATCATGTCACTGACAACTCTAACCCATTATGAATCACCCCAAAACTTCATCTGCTTTCCCCATTCTTACGGGGATATAAGGACTCTGCTTTGCCTTCTTGCTTTCCCTTATGGGATTATTTTTAACAACCTCAAAAACATTTTCCTTTGAAAATAGTGCCTGTTAATCTTGAATGATTGGTATTGTTTCATAGTATCCTACTAACAGCTAAAGGTTTCCAAGTCTGCTATTTGTGAAGGTAACTATTTTGCAAAAGGCATGAGCTCAAGGCAAAACCGGGTCAAATGATTCATGTAACAGGTCAGCTCCTGAGCTGGAAACAACACGTAAATCCTGAAATATTAAGTCCACTGCCCAGCTTGCTGGACTACATGTTTGTTTGTTGTTTTTGTTTGTTTGTTTGTTTGTTTGTTTCTGTTGTTTTTGTGTGTTTTATTTTTTATTTTATTTTTATTTATTTTATTTTCAACTCTACTTGTGCTTTCTTGATATATCTGTATAATAAAGCAATTAAAAAATATAAATGCTCTGAACACCTGAGTGTGGTCACTTTGAATAACTTTTTGCATGTGATCAAATGGTAGTTTCCGGTTTATAATGCTTTTTCCCAAGAGTAAATGTAAGTGCATGAATGTCAAAAAAAAAAAAAAAAAAAAAAAAAAAAAAGTAAAGGGCACCACAGCACTCAAGGTAACATATCCTGCACATGCTAAAGTATCTTGTCCTCTCCCTTATGTCTTGCTATGCTTTAAAGGAAATAGAAAGCATTAGCAAACAGAGGTCTCTCACAGAATTCTTTCTTACAGAAACTTCATAAATAGCGGTCCATAACTAAGATTCAACAGTTAATTTTGGAGAAGCAAAAAGATACTAGATAAAAGAAAGAGAGCTCAATGGCTGCAAAATTCTCCAGTGACGATTGTCAGCCAAACCACTCCCCCACTCCTACCTAAAAAAATCAGCCAACCAACCAACCAAAAAACAAACAAACAACAACAAAACACTAATAGTCTGCAATACTTAGTACATCTGGTTTGTGTTATTTATCTTAGATTGATATTGAAGAGAGTCAGTGAGGACCTAGGGGTTAGAGAGCAAATATTCCAAAAAATAAAAATAAAAAAAAAAAAAATCCACAAAGTGAATGTTTCTGCTATAAATTGGTGATTTGTTTTGTATCAGCAGAAATCCTCCAGAAAGGATTCTAGGATTCTTCTGGGTTACTTTTTTTTTTTTTTTTTTTTTTTTTTTTTTCTGTCCAGGAATACCTTGCAATACAAATAATTGCGAGAGTAATACCAATAGCTGTTGTAGCAGACTACTCTAGAACCTCATGTCCATCTTTGGGATTGAAGAAGATTTTTGCTTGCTTATAGCAATGTTGATTTCATGGATGAAGCACAAATAGCATGAGTATCAGGGTAAATGGAATGGAATAATACTTTTGGACACTGAGAAGTGTATACACTTTGTATCATTTTTCTAATTGTCCCTCACAGTGTTCAGGGCATGAATTAACTCTTCCTCAAGTGCTTTGTGATATTCACAACTTTTGGTTTACTCCAGAGACCATGCAGATCAATTTTAGATTTCCAGGTTTCTCCACGTTGTTGAAGTACCAGACTGTAAGATTCTGAAAGGCATTCACTCTTTGGTCCGAGCATGATCAAGCAGGTAAAAATGCCACTGTATAATGCAGTTTGAAACACAATCAGAAATGAATCTTACCCGGAGTTCCACAACTTAATTTCTAACAAAAGAAGAATTTGGAACTTTATTCCCCCTTTGCAGGCCACAAAATACTGTCACAGACACCTACAAATTTTCCTGCTATTATGGAGATGTTTTACATTTTCTTGCTCTCTTACTGTGGCATATTATACATATTTTAATACAGATCTTAAACTTAAATAGTGTGTTTAAGAGTGAAGCATTTTTTCCACCCTTGTCAGGGAGCTGACAATGGTAAAGATATGTCTAAGGTAGACAGTACCAGGATTTTAATTTACAGATGATCAGATCTTATATTCCTGTTGATTGTTTAATTTTAATAATTTGAAATAATTTTATAGTTGAAATCTGAAGGGTTTTTTTTTGGTTTGTTTGTTTGTTTGTTTGTTTGTTTTTTTAATTCTAAGAGCATATTTTAAAGAAAAGTTAAACCTATATGTCAGTTTGCACAGAAAAAAAAAAATAATAATAATTAAAAAAAAAAAAAAAAGTAAAAAAAAAAAAGAAAAGACAGGAGTCCTATTGATTCTCATAGTGGACTCTCCTTCTATCCCAACATCTGCTCAGAGAGCAGCACAGTAGGGTGCAAAAGCAATACATATTTTTGGCATGTCAGGCACCAGCTCTTTGATGTACAAGTTGGATGGGCCAGTTACAGGAGGTGCTTTGCCAGATCAGGTACTCATGAATAAGCTAGAATTGCTCAGAGACCTGATTGAAAGCCACTTGGCTGTCATGATTTGAAGACTGTAAGTTTCTGAAGCAAATGAGTCAAGTAAGTAACAGAACTAAGTTCACAGATTGTGGGAGAGTTGATCTCAGTTTATTTTGGAACTGGTAAGCATTACACCATGGTATACTTCTCTGAAGAAGAAATGGGCCCAGAAGAGCTAGCTGATCATCAAGGACAGCCTCATTATGGATATGGAAAATTATGCTTCAAACATAATTTGTGAAGAAAACATAGCAGACATGGCAGAAGGCCATGCTGGCTGAATGAAGAATTCCTGGCTGTTTAAATACGGAAGAGAAGCCTGGAGAAGGTGAAAGAACAAACAAGCTGTACAGGACGAATGTAAAAACACTGTTTAGGTATATGAGAATATAATTAGGAAAATTAAGATTAAGTAGATTTTAAACTGTGGAGGTATGTGAAAGACAAGAGGGACTTGTCCTTTCACTGGTTTCAGCTGGAACAGAGTTAATTTTCTTCCTAGTAGCTGGTATGGTGCCATGTTTTGAATTTAGGATGAGAATACTATTTGATAATCCACCAATATTTTAGATGTTGCAGAACAGTATTTGCTCTATGTCAAGGACTCTTCAGCTTCTCACATTGCCCTGCCATCAAGGAGTCTGGGGGTGCACAAGAAGCTTGAGGGGTCACAGCCAAGACAGCTGGCCCAGGCTGGCCAAAGGGGTGTTCCATACCATATGGCATCAGGGTGGAATTAGCCAGTGTGGGGTGTGCTATTACTGCTCTGGGATGAGATGGGCATTGACCAGTGTGTGGTGAGTAATTGCATTGTGCATCGCTTGTTTTGTATATTCTTTTATTGTCATAATAATTATTATTGTCCCTTTAATTTTCTGTCCTATTAAACTGTCTTTATTAAACTGTCTTTATTTCAACTTACAAGTGTTACTTTTTTTTTCTGACTCTCTTCTCCATCCTACTGGGGTGGATTTGTGCGTGTGTGTGTGGGGGGGGGGGAGGAAATGAGCTACTGTGTGGTGCTTAGCTGCGGGCCAAGTTAAACCGCAAGAATGGGTTAAAAAAGGAAAACACAAAGAAAATGTAGGTTCACTGAGAATGAAGCAGCCACATCTATGATGAGGGACATGGAAAAGACCAACATGCACAAATCCTTCTTCACAGGCAAGATCTACCATCAGTCTTCCTAATAAATAAAACTTAGTGGCAGAGCCTAGGGAGAGAGATCCTAATAAATAAAACTTAGTGGCAGAGCCTAGGGAGAGAGATACTATCCCAAGAAGAAAAGATCAGTGTAATTGGATAGGTGAACTACATTGTGGGTGAAAAACTGGCTGGACCAGTGGACTCCATGGGTTGTGGCACATTCTTCAGCAGTGTCCAGACTACTGGTGTAACTTAGGGTTTGCTAATGCTTATCATCTTCAACAATGCCTTGGACAAAGGTATGGAAAGCACCTTCAGAGAGTGGACAATACCAAACTGGGAGGATCATTCAGTATGTTGAGGGGTAAGGATGCCAAAGCTGACAAAGCTAGATGCAGAGGCTGACCAACAACCTCACTTCTACAATATGCTGAAATAGTAAGGAACTGTTACTTTATGACTGTCAGAGCAAGACACCTACAAAGTTCACTTATTCATATGAATAAGAAAATGAATGAATGAAGATTTAAATAAAACAGCAGTAACAAAACACAGAAACACAGGTATCCAAATGACACTAATAAATTTAAGGATATAGAAACTATTTGAATGTGGAATTTCATATGTTAATATGATATTCACTGTCACTTCCTTTTCTTAGCTAACTCAGAAGGGAAATAAACATGTTAGCCAATTTAACTTTAGAGATAAGATTTGCCAAATAGTTACATCCAGAATTATTCTAGCTGGGAGAGAAGTACACTAGCTGAGAGAGGTACACAATAAACAGCATAACATCTGCTAATCTAGAAAGCTGTTAGCACACAGGTAAGCTCAAAGGATAGGCTTTCTGTTTTTTTTTGTGTTTTTTTTTTTTTTTTTTTTTTGTGATTCAAGAGGTATAATTTTTTTTTTGGCCAATATTGTAATGTGTATATGTTTTGTGATTCAAGAGGTATAAATATTTTTTTGGCCAATATTGTAATGTGTATATTTAGGTTGAGAAAACATACAAACTGTTTTTGTTTATTTGTTTGTTTGTTTGTTTTCAGATAAAAACCATCATCCTAGAAACAGAAACTCTTGCTTATTTCTTTCTTTGATCACAGTTAGGAGCAATAAAACATATGTGAATTAACCTTAAAAAAGGGGGGAGGGTTTTTTTTTGTATTCTTACTTTCTTACAACTTATACTGCTTTCTTACTTACTTACTACTAATAGCTCTTATTAGCTATTGAACTGGAATATCTAAAACCTGTAAATTAGAGAGGAATGTGGAAAGAGAGGAGGAAACACATAGAAGGCATGAAACTCAAAACTGAAGTTAGAAATCAAGTCATAATCTATGTTTGAAAACAAAAAGTAAGAACAAACAAAAAATATTTTACAAATCTTGAAAAGGGAAAGGTAAGTTTTATAGATGAATCTGAGATACAAATGTCAAATTTCTTTCCTCTGTGATTGTCTTAAAATACTATACTCTGACCCAACCTCTGAGATTTCAAAAGTACATACTTGGAAACAGTCTAAATGTAGAAAACAATCATTCTCTGACAGATGACCATTTTTTTTTTCAATTCTATCTTCACTTCAATTTTTGAGCTAATTTTTGAGCAGAGACACATTCCAGGCAATGGTCCAGCTCAATCTGACATTAGAGTTTCTAAAACCTTTCTTCTTTTGGTCTCAATTGCCTTTTTTATTATTATTTTATTTTATTCTATTTTTTAACCATGTTTCCTCATTATAAAGCTTATTATCCAATTTTCAACGTGTGTTCTAAAGTCCTGTCACCTGAAACAGATATGTTAAAGCCCCAAGGGATACTTATCCCTGCCCTATGCAAAACAAGTAGAAATTATATATATATACATATATATATATACACATATATATGCATGTGTATATATATATATATGTGCATACA